TCAAGAGTAATATATGTAGGTATAGCTGACCAGTCGAACTCTATTCCGTCTTAGAGGCCATAAATAATCAGGTTTTTCCTGTTTTAATCAAACAGGATGATTGACATATTAGTTAGTTGTCAAATCTAATGTCAAAAAAAAAACGTTTGTATGGGAAATAGAAAAGGGCTGTTTTTAGGGTTTTCCCAGAAATTATTCCAATTTTTCTCACCTTTTAAACCTTCCCTGGACTTCCAAAAGTATTTCAAGACTAAAATTAGCCTAATCCGTTCAGCTGTTCTCGAGTTTTAGCAAGACTAAGGAACAGCAATCCATTTTTATATATATAGAAGATATAATATTATGGTAAAGTTTCATTAAAATTCATTCAGTAGTTTTCGAGTTAAAGCTTAACAAACAGACATACCTACATCTCTACATACAGTCTTATTGAATGAACTGAGTATCTTTTACCAAAACAGTTTCTATTCTTGCCACAAAATACCAATCATTTTTCGATACAAACTCTACCGTCCAGTCGTAAAAAGGATTATTAAACGAAATTTCTTTTACAGTTTTCCCCAAAATTTAATAAAATAATAATATTATGTATATTGTACATATTAAATCAAATAATGTTTCTGGTATGTATCGTTTAACGTTAGATAGGGTCCCTTAAACCTACACCTGGGTCACAAGTCCCAGTCACTGTTGAAGCTCCTCTCACTACAACGATGGACCCGACACACGCACCGTGAATACATTGAATGATGAGAGGTTTCGTCCCATATACATTTGTTAATGACTTCGAACCCGTTACCTCAGGGATGTCGAGTCTCAGTCATTTTAACATTTGAGCCATTACGTCCATACTTAATTTCATTTAATGGAGAATTTTTTTCAAAAATATGTGACGTATTCATATTAACATAAACATAGGCTATTTAACATAAATATATATGACTTCGCTTCGATTTTGGTTGAGTTTAATAATATTAAACTTCTTAGGGAATTCATATGATTTGTTTAATTACAAATTATGAGCGGACCAGTGCTGAATAGGGTAGTGATTGTCATAATACATTTTCATCCTATTAGAATGTTATCTTCTATCTTCTTCTTCTACATATATATATATATAAAAATGGATTGCTGTTCCTTAGTCTCGCTAAAACTCGAGAACAGCTGAACGGATTTATCTTATCTTAGTCTTCAAATGTTCGTGGAGGTTCAGGGAAGGTATAAAGGCTGAAAAAAAATGATTCATTACTGGGAAAACCATAAAAACAGCCCTTTTCTATTTCACATACAAACTTTTTTTTTGACATTAGATTTGACAACTGACTAATATGTCAATCATCCTGTCGCACTTCAAAACACGGAGATTTATGGCTTACAGGTAAACTCCAAAAATATATATAAAAAAACGTAACAGATATTTCTTGATTATAGAGCGATACGAAGTTCGCCGGGTCTTCTAGTTTTAAATACAATTTTAAAGAAATCTAGTTATAATATATTGTAAAATACAAGTGTGCTTTTATTTATGAGTTCCAATTGATACAACGCCCATGTAAGATAGCATATATAAATAGAATTTTAAGAGTTATGAACCAAACGACATACATACATGATGGTCAAACACACAACCTAACTTCAATTCTCCGTTGTCGAGTAAAACCCTGTCATATGTTTAACACATTCCATATACTTCACGAAATTATAAGAAACAAGATGAAATAATTTCTCCCGTTTTTTACACATTTACCACCATATCTTTGCTCCTATTGATCGTAGCGTCATGTTATATAGCCTATAGCCTTCCTCGATAACTGGACTATCCAACACAAAAAGAATTATTCAATTCGAACCAGTAGTTTCGGAGATTAGCGCTTTCAAACAAACTCCTCAGCTAAAATAATTTTAAGTAAAAGTAAAATAATTAACTATATAATTTACAAGGATAAAGGAAAGTAAAGGTTTTCGTTGAATTTGTTAAATTATAATAAAAAAAACAGGAAATAATTAGTATTTACGGAAAACAATAATATTTGATATTATTAAAAAAAATGTGTTTTTACTAAGAATATAATTATTTTTCTTTATGTCTATCAAAGAGGGTTCTCAAGTCGACTGTATGTATGTATATAACTCTTTAACTTATAAACTTTGGATATAGTATTGATATATTTAAATATTAACATATATGTACTAGTTTTTGCTCGCGACTTCGTCCGCGTTAATTTCGTCGTTAGTAATATATGTATAGCTGACCGGGCGAACTCTATTCCGACCTAGAGGCCGTAAATAACCAGATATTGGAATTTATTATGTATTTTTTTCTTTTTCTATCGAAGTATTAAATATCCTATGTCCGTCTCCTTGTTCTAATCTATCTCTCCACCAATCTTCATCCATATCCGTACAGCCGTTAGAGTTATATATAGTGTAACTAACACGACTTTCTTACATATATATATTTTCTATATACATACCATTTTCTCTTAAAAACTCTTCAAACACGGTGTTAAATATTAGGTATATATTTTTTTAATATGTATATGTATTGTTATTTAAACAAAAACTTACGTAGTTCATTCCCAACACATGAACAGATACATTGATAATAATTATAGCAGTTTTATAAAAAATGTGTTTCATAACTCGTGTAACACAATACATAGTATCCTGTTTGTATTATCTTTTCAATCATAAATCCAGAACTATATTTATGTACAACTAGCTGTGCCCGCGACTTCGTTCGACGTGATTCTTTAATTTGACATATCTTTTTTATTTATGAACCGATTGACATGAAACAAATACTAAAGCATAACTGAAGCACACCACAATATATTCGTGAAAACCGCATCCAACTCGGATCAGCCGTTTCTGAGATTAGCGTGAACAGACAAACAGACAAAAAAAAGTTAATTACATTTTTGGGTTCGACATCGACATAACAATAACCCCTGCTACTTTTTTTATTTTTATTTTCAATGTACAAACAGCACTTTTCTACAATTTTATTATATGTAATAGATTATTTTAATTACAAAAACCAACTGACTAAAAAATAATTAACAGGATGACTTTTTGGAAAATCATTTGTTTATTTGCAATTTTCACAAAATAATGAATGGTTACATCCAAAAATGTTCTTTAAATAATCTCTCCTTTCCTTTCCTCTCCTCTTCCTTTCCTCTCCTCTCCCTTCCGCCAACTCACCTCTTATTCAATACAGTTAATCTTATTTTTTGTTACAATGTACTCCCTCCCTCCTTCAATATACATAAAACTAGCTTTCCGCCCGCAGCTTCGCCCGCGTGGAGTTCGGTTATGTCCCGTTTCCAAGAGAACCTTTCAAAAGTCTGGGATAAAAGCTAACCTATGTTCTTTCTCAAGGTCAACTCTATGTCTGTACCAAATTTCATTAAAATCAGTTCAGTGGTCTAGACATGAAAGCGTAACAGACAGACAGACAGAGTTACTTTCGCATTTATAATATTAGTAGGGATATATGTCTGCTTAATGAGCCTACATGTTCGGTTTCACGCGAAAACTATTAAACTCATATTGATGAAACTTTGCAATAAAATAGCTTAGATATAGGAATAAGATATAGGCTGTAATTTATACTAAACTTTGGAATTTATTCCTAAATAAAATGGATACAATTTACTTCATCGCTATTTATTTTCAAATGTATATGAGACACATCTTATAGATGGGTTCCATAGTGCCCACTGTTTAAGGAACCCTAATAATAATAAAAATATCTAAAAAAAGTGAATTGGTAGTAATAAAATTGTTATTTTCTTTTAATTATTTTAATATAACATCATCATTACTTATATATGTAGGGGTACAAGAATTTCATTATCATCAGCCTATCAGAGCCCACTGCTGAGTCTTTTCTCACATGGAGAAGGTTTGAGCATTAATCTACACGCTCGCTCAAGACGGGTTGGTGATTTCAAACTTATAATTGTGAAACTATAAGTCCAGGTTTCCTCACGATGTTTTCCTTCACCGTATGTCAGTGGTGTCTAAATACTCTCAGAAAGTACATATGACTCAGAAAAATCTCATTGGTACGTGCCAGGTTTGAACCCGCGCCCTCAACAACGAGAGGCGGGCCCTTTAACCACTAGGCCACCACTGGCTTACAAGAATGTACTTTGCAGAATCGCCGTGAAGCCCCTGTGGCTTAACAGAAGAGCCCCGTTGGGACACCCGTTTGGTTTTAGTTAATTGTGCGTAATTTTCATGACAAGAGTAATACATAACTCTCCTTGTTTTCCTCTCCAAGCAAGAGAGTTTCCATTAAGCATTTCCCCACGCAAAAAAAAGGTACATCACTGTACTCTAGTACTTACAACTTTAAAACATTATATATAGATATGTAAGTATTATTAAAAATATGAAAAACTTTTCTTATTATATCGCTTTGTTAAGAAAAAACTCGTCGCAAGTTGAATGAAGCGACCTTAGCGTTTCGGTACCAAATGGATTTTTTGATCATGGGTTCCGTATACCGGTCCTAAAATATAAATGATTAGTTCCATCTAAGTATTTTAATACACCACATATAACTGGTCTATTAAACATAAAACTTCTAGTCGATTGTACATTTGGTAATGGCCTAGTGGTTAAAAACTCGCCTCTCATGCACGAGGGCGCGGGTTCGATCCTGGCAAGTACCAATGTGATGTTCCGAGTCATATGTACTTAAGAGTATTTAGACATCACTGACTGATGAGGAAACATGGACTTAAATTATAAGTTTGAAATCACCAACCCGTGTTAAGCAAGCGTGGTGATTAATGCTCAAACCTTCTCCATGTGAGAAGAGACTTAGCAGTGGGCTCTGATAGGATGATGATGATCATCTCCGTGGAATGATTGAGCCAGTTCGGCGTTCCGTTCGTTTCGCTCTCTTCAAATAAAATATTTTCTAAATGATCTAATGTATATAATTGTTTTAATTCCAGGTAGAACAAATGTCGTGATAGCCAGAAATGTATCATGTGTTTTTGTTATCTCTGACCCTCGCTACGGCTACAGCGGAGTATGACTTTATGTGAGTACAACCTTAGTAGTGGTTTTAACGAAAAACTCTATACTGACAGTGTGGAGTCTGGCCATATGTATGTTACGATACTGTCTACGTGTAGTTAAAACCCGTGGTAATAGTGTAAAGATCAAATAAAAAAGTAATGAGATCTAAGGCTTTCGCGAGTATTCATTAAAATGAAACTAATATTTTTGGGATATACTTTGCGTGGTTTAATTTTTAAACTACATACTCCCGACGTTTCGGTTACTTTACAACCGTGATCATTAAGACGAGATGTGTTACAAAAATAAAGGAAGCGTAGTATATCCGAAAAATATTAGTTTCATTTAGATTATATAAAACAAATTATTTCTACCATTACCAATTACTATATAAAATGTTGAACTAGAATAGATCTTATATATATGTTGATAACTACTTCAGGTCCGGCGTTATATGGGGCGGGCCTGATAAGGGGTGCGACAGTTCTGAGGGTGCGGGCCAGGCAGTCATCAGCTGCACCCTCAACAGCGGGAATGTCACCCTCAACGTAGACAGATCAGCTTCATGGCTGAAGGTCACATGTGAAGAGGTAGGCTTAAATATTGTTAACAATATCATATGATAATTGATGTTTTATTATAAACTTATTCGACTAAATATGTAAAATAGGCAGCCCTAGTAGGTTCTTTTCAAATTTGATAGAGAGGAGCTTGTACGGTGGTGGTGAGCGTTTAACGTTAGATAGGGTCCCTTAAACCTACACCTGGGTCACAAGTCACAGTCACTGTTGAAGCTCCTCTCACTACAACGATGGACCCGACACACGCACCGTGAATACATTGAATGATGAGAGTATCGTCTCTTAAATTTAAGTGCTAAAATTCTTATGACATTATCTATCAGTCAGTGAAAGTCCACTCAGAATAAGTCTAGCAGTTTCAAAGTTTAAGCAAAAGAAACACACATAGAAAACAACTAAAAAATATATATTAAATTTTGGTTTAAACACAATATATTTATTTACGGAATGGAATCCGTAATAATAGCTTTACCGCCAACACAAAAACTGAGCTATCGCATCCCATACATAGAAACAATTTTTTTTTACAGAACAGTTCATTTTCGTGCAGTGAATTGGCTGAAGCTCGCCCTCATATATCAAAATATGCAACAATGAATGGAGAGAAGGGTAGACAGATATCTAGATTGGATGTAGATAGTTGTAGATTGCCCGAGGAGAGTCTAGTTTGTCTACTAGATCTAGTGAACGCCAGCTCGGCTGTACTGTTGAGGCTTATACACTGTGAAGGAAAAGTTACTGCTAGGAATTTAGATGGAATGGATGCTGTTAAGTTCAGAATGAATTATATTGGTAAGGATATATTTATATATACTAGCTGACCCAGCAAACGTTTTGTCATATAAAAAACTAGCTTTCCACCCACAGCTTCGCCCGTGTTCAGTTCGGTTATATCGCGTTTCCAAGAGAACCTTTCAAAAGTCTGGGATAAAACTATCCTGTGTTCTTTCTGAAGGTCAACTCTGTCTGTACCAGATTTCATTAAAATCAGTCCAGTGGTTTAGGCCTGAAAGCGTAACAGACAGACAGACAGAGTTACTTTCGCATTTATAATATTAGTAGGGATAGGGGTTGGTGATAAAAAGTAAACATTTTGGGTTGTATTTATATTTTTTATTAAAAAGTTAAAACATAATTTCGTCCGAAAATAAAAATAATTAAGAGTAAACAACCCTTATGACTTAGGAGTATGTGAAATAGATGTTGGCCGATTCTCAGAGATACTCAATATGCTCACAAAATGTAATCAAAATCGGTCCTGCCGTTTCGGAGGAGTTCTCTGTCTGACACAACGACACGAGAATTTTATATATAAGATATACATATATGTAATATTGAGTTCATATACAAAATCATTCTCTTTTAAAATATTAAATTTAAAATGTTTTTAAAGCACATATAAGTTATCCTTCTTAAGTAATTTGGTGAACACATTTTTATCTTTAACTGAGATTTATTAGGTACAGCTATAGTTACAATATAAGTAGTTTTTTATGTATAGACAAAAAAAACTACTTATACTACTACTAAGGGTTACACAAAGTAAAAAGTACTACTATATAAATATGTTTATAAACAGTCAGTTCTATCCGATCCTTAATAGTGTTAAGACACTTCCAAAACTGTATTTAAATGAAGAAAATCTTTCAATAATAATATCTTTAATTATTATAAAGAATACAGGGTCACATATAAATAATCCCAATATATATTTCTCTTAATTTTTAAAGATAAAATATAAGAAAGATATTTTATAAGTTAACTGACACTTAATAAGATGGAAAGAATTTTCCAATTTCCTTTCCATTCCTGGTATTATCCAATATTATTCCTGGAATTAAATATCTTTATAAACTTTTTACAGATAAAAATACTACTATGGTGCCATATCCAGCGTTATCTCAGCTCAAATCACTAAGAAGCTTTACTCTAAAGGGTGGTTCATTGGTATTAGACGTTCAAAACGTTTCTTTACCTAATCTAAGGACTTTGGAACTAGCTGATGGTAGACTTGAAGTTATAAATAATGATGTCTTCATGAACACACCGAATATACAGACATTGATGCTATGGGGGAATAAGATTAGTAAAATACATGAAAATGCCTTTAAAGGTGAGTAAATAAAGTAAATAGAAGGTAATTATGTCCTAGTGGTTAAAAACGCCGCTAGCATGAGCGCGGGTTCGATCCTGGCAAGCACTAATGTGATTTTTAAGTCATGTACTTAAGAGTATTTAGACATCACTGATTAATGAAGGAAAATATGAGGAAGCATTGACTTATAATTATAAGTTTGTAATCACCAACCCGTCTTGAGCGAGCGTGGTGATTAATGCTCTAACCTTCTCCATGTGAGAAGAGGCTCAGCAGTGGGCTCTGATAGGATGATGAATTAGAAGATAGATAGGAAATATAGCTTTGAAATCAGTCAGTGTTTGTTTAATTGGTTCTTATCATTAATTATTTGAATATTATTATGTGATGAAATGATTTTATATATTTAAACGGTCACCCATCTCGATAATGACTTTTATCAGTTAACTTAACCTAGACCATTATATTATCCTCAAATACAAAATTTCTAGATATTTATATATTATTTAAACCTAAACCATTGCCTGTTGCTTCTTTCACTAATTTAGACCGTACTAGCTGCGACCCGCGGTGTTACCCGCGGATTTCCGGGATGTAAAGTAGCCTATGTGCTATTCCTGGACGTCAGCTTCCTGTATACAAAATTTTATCAAAATCACTTCAGCCGTTTGATCGTGAAGAAGTAACAAACATTCACACACACAAACTTTCGCAATTATGATATTAGTAGGATTAATTGTTATAAACATTTAATTTTACCCAATTTTTTCGAACCTGGGACCTTTCTAAACAGTCGTTCTTTTAACCATTACTCTATAGGGTCTTCTCTAATTTTCTTATATTTCCAGGTCTCCACGATTTAGTCAACGTGAGTCTCAATTCAAACGAAATCTCTTCACTTCCAAACAAAATTTTCTCTCACTCTCCGTTAATCAGGAGAGTCGACCTCTACGATAATAGACTTGTTATATTACAAAAGGATCTTTTCAGTGGTTTACAACATTTAGAAGAGGTTAGTAGATATATAATTTGTAAATAAATATTTTTTTCTCAGTGTAATTTTCTCTATGTTGACTATATCTCAATAAAAGTTCTATCAGAATAAGTTCAGCTGATTTATTCGTCTGAATTTTAAAAAAATACATTTATATAGTAATAATTATTATCTTTTCAAATTCCAGGTCATAATAACATCAAATAAAGCGAATCTCAGTCTAGAAGAAACATTTTCAAATCTACCTTCACTCAAAAATCTCAAACTTGAGACAAGTAATATAGAAAAATTACCAGAAAACTTGTTCAAGAACTCAACATCACTGAAAACATTACTATTAGGTGGAAATAGATTAGAGAATCTCCCGCCAACCATTTTCAGTGATCAGAAATTGGTTGTACTGAATCTATATGATAATAGGATTAGTGAACTACCCGCCGTGCTGTTCAAGAATCAAACTTTGATGGAAAGATTGGATCTGAGGAAGAATCTCATTAACAATATACCTGGCGGGTTATTCTCTGACGCGAAAAACTTGAAAGTCTGTGATTTGAGCGACAATCAGATAGAATTATTGGAAAGGTTGGTAAAAATTGATTTTTATACTAAATCTATCGCTTTATGTTGTATTGTAGATATTAAACAGAATTATTCCTTCAAAATTATATTTAGACAGTTATAATGTATGCTACAGTCCCTACTAATATTATAAATGCGAAAGTATTTCGTCTGTCTGTCTGTTACGCTTTCACGCTTAAACCACTGAACTGATTTTAATGAAATTTGGTACAGACATAGAGTCGACCTTGAGAAAGAACATAGGATAGCTTTTATACCAGACTTTTGAAAGGTTCTCTTGGAAACGCGATATAACCGAACTCCACGCGGGTGAAGCTGCGGGCGGAAAGCTAGTAGTATATATTGATGGGTCCTATGTATAAGGGCCAATGTGCAATTTAGACATTTTTGTTTTTGCTTTAAACGCTTCATAATACTGTATTCATTTAAAAAAATGTGGATTCGTCAGTGTAGACTTATTATTGCAGTAAAAAAACATAAGTCACACACTTTTTAACATATAAAGGCTTATAATATAATGTATATTACAATAAATGTACATATTTAAAAAAAACTAATAGTTTTACAAAAGAATTTATCAATCTTAAATGTTATACATGTATGTCATAGTTGCTATGTAAAGTTTCACAGCATCAGTTGTATGTACAAGATACATTGAAATCAAACTTAAAACTACATTACAGAAAAAGTTAAATCAAAATCTGTTTAATAGTTTCTGAAAGAGACTAATATCCACACATGAACACAATTACTCAATTACATACAATAATAAAAAATAGAAATTACTCAGTATTTGTTCTCAATCGACTTCAAATAAAGTAGGTTATGAAATTACAATATTAAATCCTATTATTAGTTATAAATGAAGTAAAAGTTGCATCAAAATGAATACAACAAAGCTTTAAAATATAAATTTAACATTTTGACCGACTCTCAACTACAAGGAAGGTTGTGTATTTATTTATTTTTTATTGTTTTTCAGTAATTCATTCATCGGAGCTCCAAACCTGATAGAGTTATATTTAGCTGGGAATAAAATACATTACCTGAGGAGAGAAACATTTGAAGTTATACCTTCATTAGAGGCAAGTTATATACAGGGTGACTGGTGAATTACTATCGATATTTGAGGACGTGATATTTGACGATCATATATGACAAAATAAAAATTAATATAACATAAATATTAATAAACTTCTAAGTAAAGTTAACCAAAAGTTGTGTAATTAATTACGGATCGTGTGAACACCCTACAGATTAGGTATACACTGACACTCACACATACGCGTGTCGTGACGTAGTGTTGTATCAGCACGTCGCCGCACGCGTCCACACTTGAACATTTGGAACGTGTCAACACTTTACTTATTATTACGGAAATTTGGTAAAAAATTAAGTGCCTATTTTTTTTACATAATTCGAATGAGAATCATGTACCGAGTATTCTCCTTAAATATTGATAGTAATTCACCAGTCACCCTGTATATATGGGATTCTAACAAAATCATTAAAAATATGGTTGTTTTACAAAGCTTGTACCTTTAAATAACATATCAAACTTTAATTGGAACAAACTAATTATTATCTTAAACCAAAACACCTTCAATAAGTTGTATTCAGTTTACAAGCACACAAATCGTGTCAACAAATACTTTCCCTCGTAAAAGTGAACAAACCAAACGTCATCTCTTAAACGACATTTTTATCACAAAATATTTCATACTTAAAAAAGTTTACTTCTAATCTGTTCTGAAAATCCCTACTAGTATTATAAATGCGAAAGTTACTCTGTCTGTCTGTCTGTTACGCTTTCATTCCTAAACCACTGAACTGATTTTAATGAAATTTGGTACAGACATAGAGTTGACCTTGAGAAAGAACATAGGATAGTTTTTATTCCAGACTTTTCAAAGGTTCTCTTGGAAACGCGATATAACCGAACTCCACGCAGGCGAAGCTACGTTTGGAAAGCTAGTATATTATAATATATTACTAACGCCATATATTATCAGATTTCGTGACTTACAATATAATTTTTGATGTATATCTTTTAATTATATATTAATATTATTTCAGATATTATCACTAGCTAGGAACAATTTGACGATATCAAAAAGTATGAACACAATAGCCCTTTTACCTACAGATGAATACTACAACGAGGACTATGCAAAGACATTTCTGCATTATTCAATGTTTAAAAGTCTGAAATATATTAAAATACTGAATTTGAGTAAAAACAATGTGTCCCTTATATGTGAGGATTGGAGGCAGTTGATCGGACTCAAGAAATTGGATTTGTCATACAATAATATTGATTTTCTATCGGTGAGTTACATCTATGTATAGACCAAACCGGGATATATAACTATATTCAGTGTATATGTATTATTATTAAAAGTTTAAATATCTTACTAAAGATATATATACTGGCTGAGCCGGTTAATGTTGTTTTGCCATATAAAAATAGGGGTTGGTAATAAAAAAGTAAAAATTTATGGTTGTATGTATTTTTAATGCTATATTATAAAAAACATAAAGAATATTAATGGTGAAAGACTCTTATGACTTAGGGGTATGAAAAATAGATGTTTGCAGATTCTCAGAGATAATATGCTCACAAGATTTCATCAAAATCGGTCCAGTTTCGGAGGAGTTCTCTGTATATCGCGACACGAGAATTTTATATATAAGATATATAGATATATATTTCTATTCACAGGATATTTCAATGTCTTTCGACTTCAGTGATGCTGTCGTAGATGTGAGAAACAATAAGATTACAACTATACTTCCCCCTGTATACAACAATGACACGCAAAAACCCACTTTCATACTCAACGACAACCCCTTCACTTGCGACTGTTATTTGTACGATTTCATACAGAGATATAAATCTACAAAAAGCACACCCATCCTACAAATGGACAGCGCGACATGCGCTTCACCTAGATCACTGAAGAACACACATATATCAGAATTAACACCCGAACAGTTATTCTGTGATGTCCCTTGTAATAATTGCACTTGCAAAATAAAACCATACAATAGCAGATTTGTCATAGATTGTGAAGAAATGCCGTCAAATCTACCGCAAGTGTCGAAAGAGTTTGAAGCTATGAATTTAACTAATGAGATACATTTGAAACGTAGCACTCAAGTTATACCGAGTTATTATAAGTACGTGGACTTGTCAAACTTGAATTTAACGACAGCGCCATCTGTTGTCAGTTCGGTGGAACTAAACTTGACGAATAATCACCTAAAGAGCGCGCCCTTGGATTTGCTTCTTAACAACTGCACCTTATATCTATCGAATAATCCATTCCTATGTAGCTGTAATGATTACGAGAACGTCGAGTATCTGATGAAATATAAACATTTGATACGAGATTACAAAGAGATCAGATGCGAGGATGGCGGGCTCGTCTCTAATGTGAATATCGAAACGATCTGCGTCGCGAGGAATTCAGTAATCATCGGGTCAACCGTTTCCGTGATTGGCGTGATACTTGTTATTATCATAGCTATATATTACAAATATTCTACTGAAATAAGAATTCTACTTCGGAAATATCATTTGTGGTGGGGCGATGAGTTTGATCATGAGAAAGAATACGATGCATTCGTTTCATATTCGCACCAGGATGAAAATTACGTTGTAGAACATTTAGTACCTAATTTAGAAGGTGGAAAACCGCCTTTAAAATTATGCGTTCATTACAGAAACTGGGTTATAGGGGACTTCATACCCACACAGATAGCCAGATCGGTTGAACAATCAAGAATAACTATAATAGTCCTATCAAAACATTTCATTAATTCTATATGGGGACACATGGAATTTAGAACGGCCCATGGCAAGGGAAAAGTGATTATATTGATGCTCGATGACATATCCACTGATGAAATCCTCGATCCTGAATTAAAAGCATACATAGCTATGAACACATATGTTAAGTCAAAAGATCCATTAGTGTTTGATAGAATTAGGGATGCCGTTCTAAGTAAAGGAATGAACAAGACATCGGGGGGACTCAATGTGCAACTTAAAGATGGGAAGTTAGTTAATGTTAATAAGGATATTGAGGTGGCAATACAATGATACATAAATAATGAATCTCTATATATATGTATATATAATAAAATAGATTTTACACATAGTTTCTATCATGAAATTATATGAGCATACGACTTGTCCTAACTTTAAATATCAAGGTTTGATTATGAAAAAAAATCTACAGGACATAATATATAATTTGTGAAAATTATTTATTACACATGCTCTCAATATGTTCAAATTTATGTAATGAAATGTATTGTAAACAGTTATTTTAAATAATATTTTTAATTATTTGAACTTATAATAAATACAGTCGCTGCTATCATTAATTCATCTAGTCAATAAGAACTTTTTTTAATAAAAATCTTTTATAATCATTGTTTTAATTCTATCCAGTACATATGTATATTCTTCTTCTTCTTCTACCTGGCAATTTCCCAGCTTTAGCCAGGTTGGGAATAGTTTTGGATAATTGTTTTTGCGACCAACCGCCTGCCTGACATCAACCCACTGGGAATGTATTAATAAGAGATGTATGAATACTGTTAGAAAGTATTAGTATTCTTAGAAAGTAAAGTATTGGTATCTATTTATAATAACAATACATAATAAATATTTATAATAACAATACATTCTTAGAACGTACTTTGAAGGCAGCTCTTTAAACCTACACCTGAGTCACAAGTCCCAGTCACTGTTGAAGCTCCTCTCACTACAACGATGGACCCGACACACGCACCGTGAATACATTGAATGATGAGAGGATTCGTTTCATTAAAAAAAGAACAGAATTTGTTTAATTACAGTTAACACAACTCAATATTGTCAATTAATATTTAAAGCAGCGGACTGAAAATAATTACAACAAGAAACTTTTAATCTAAACAATATTTAACATTTCATAAATCCCTCATAGTGATTGAAACGAAAAGATACTTTAATAACTTAACAACTTGACTTTGGAGGACAGAAGATTGCTTTGAAACAAGACATATAGTGATACTTTACATTCACCTTTTAAACACATCTTCAAACCACAAGAGTTGGAAACAACTTGATTTATATTAATATTGTACTTTATATTATTAACATGAGATATTGAGACGAGACACACACACAAGCAGGTGACACACAGACACACAGTAAGTACATACATTTCAATAGGAATGTATATAGAACACATTTGTATAGTGAGGCAGTAACAGTAACAAAATGCTGATGTTTTAAACAAGTCAAATGGTCGTTGGTATGACCATAAGCATTAAAATGCTATTGACAAATCCCAGCGTTTCTTTTCTCCAGTAATCCACTTCCTTTTGATACTGAGGTACTTAATACATAATAGATTGTCTATTTTCATAAGATAATATTATTTGATGATTGTTTCTTCAGTCATTATATCCACTCTGAGAGCACGGGTTTAAATCAGAAGGATTAAATAAGCAGCATGAAAAACAAAATACAAATTTATTGAAGGCGAATATTTCCATTTTCTTTAGACATTTTCATTGTTCTGTAATTTTCGAATAAATATTTCTTTGTTAAAGTATCAGGTTACTGATCTATTCTTATCTTTATAGCTTCTGGATGCCACAGAGAAATCACAATCTTTATTTTGAAAATAACCAGGTCCCTTACGAATCATAATTTCGCGATCCTGTTCTGTAATATTTTCATGAAAATAATCAACGGGGTCGTGTGATATTTTGTCAGTTTTGTAATGTTGTTGTTGCTCAATTGGCCGTATTGGCTAGGTCACCGAACTTTCGTCATAGGCACGGTTGCTTTCTGATTCAATCTTTAATTCTTCATAATTGTGAGGAACTGGGATAGAACATGACGGTTTAGAATCTCCCGCTATTTCTGATAGACACATTTGACTGCTACTTACAGAACTTTCTCCAGTAGACAAATAAAATGTTAATTTTGGTAATTTATCAATTACTTTCTTCTGGTGTGCAGCTTTTTTCCTTTTGTCAGATCCACTAGGACACTAGGTTTATATTTATATAGAAAATAATCACTGAAACTAAACAGGCAAGTATAATGTTAAAAATACTTTAAGTTTTTCACAGAACACAGTCTCATAGTCACAGTGAAACAACAACAAACAAACAGTGTTTCCACTAGAACGATTTCTTTTTCCCACACTTCAATTCAGATTTCCCCTTTTTTCTCCTCAAAAATTATTTTGCTCTAGTTTTGACACCACACGCCACACCTAAAATTTATCGTTTATTTATCGTTCTTCTTCTGTAATCTGCTGTATTAATATCTGTAATGTAATTTTGACAACAGATGCAAATTCGTTCAACTGCAAATTTTGGTGAACTATTTTATGTCACTGCCTGTTTCCAATGCTGCTGTTGAATGATTATTTAGTGATCTAAAAAATATCAAAACAGACAAACGCAATAGGCTCGATAATGAAACGGTTGCATCAATCCTCTGTGTAAAATCAGGCTTGAAAAGAACGGGAACAACTTCAGTACAACTCATTAAAAATCATTTAGAAATACCACACCTCAAGTTTGTACAGTCCAATGAAGTTGCATGCAGTCCAAAACTTGGAGTTGTATACTGATTTTTTATTCCAAATCAGTTAACGGTGTCAACGCATACATTTTTGCATAAAATTATGTCTCCTCCTCAAAACCCTCATTTATCTTTGATTTCCCCTAATTTCCCCTTTTATAGTCTTTCCCCTTTTCTTTTAGCTCTTCACCCTAATTTCCCCTCAATTTCCTAATTTCCCCTAAATGTGGAAACACTGCAAACAAATGAAATGAAATAGTGTTGTCCATCGATAGTCTACTATCGATAGGCTGTCGATATTCAATCTATAGTAAATGCAGAGCCGATACAATCTATGGATAGTATCGACAAATTTGCTATTTTAACCCAAAAACTATCGATAGTTCTGAACTATCGATTGTCAGGAATTATTGGATAGTATTGCAAGTAAATTCAAAGTGATGTGTAAAATAAAAGTAATACAAAGTATACTTGTATTTAATAGAGGTCATTAAATATTCCAAAGTACTTCCCTTATGATACCAACCCAATTAATGAATGTCTAAATATTTCATGACAAATTCAAACAATCTACTGACACCAGTGGAGGTTTGATCACATGACATAAGTTATCAGAGCCTCTAGCCAACCATTTGAGCTATCAACTGTGCGTCGCGGGAGTCAGTCTGTTTTTCAATGAAGGTTTACATTTAATAATCGATTTATTTATTTATTTTTTTAAACACTTCTCTCATATATAATTATATTCCTTCTCCTAAGCTGCACCTAATCTCACTGCTCGCTTTCTATATTATTCGATCACTATTAAAGAAAAAGTCAGGTCAAAATTTGGTTAATTATTTCTTCTCGATAGGTAATAGACGATACGCATCAGGCAATAGTATCCTAAAGCTTTATGGCCGTCATCTCCCTCCCACGCTTGAAGAAAAAAAATACATTCACTTATTTCCTCTCGGCTAAAAATTTATAAAGTTATACTTAGCTAACAAAATATTTCAACAGAAAGACATAATCAGCTGGCCATCAGATAGTGCATTGTACGTCAGCTGACGTCTCGATAATGAAAACAAATTTTCACTTTCAATGATATCCTCCCAGATACATATTTACCTCATGTTAGCTCATATGTAACTATTGATAAATATATACGTCAGCTGGCTGTGTCTCGGTGGAAAATTATTATTTAGAGTCATCAGCTATGTGTGTATATAGTCAAACTGTCGATGTTTCTGCAACACTAAAATAAAACATGATAACAAAACAGATAGATACAGGGGAATTCCCGATTGCTAAGTCGAGCAGTGTTGCCAATACTAAATACTCCGCATTTATTTCATCGCTATTATTGCCACCTGTCTTGTGTTTTCTTTTGTCAGATTTGGGAACTTTTGCTAGACATTTATAAAAAAAAAAAAATCATGAATCTTGTGTAACATTAATTAATTAATCCAAAAAAATGTTAAATTTATTTAATATCAACATGTATGACTTTAAAAAATCTGAATCTTCAGATGAAGAAAACTATTCAATGTATTAAATACATTGGAATAAAACAATTTTTAACCATGTCACATGTATATTATTTCTAAATCGTTATGAATTTATATTTATGTATTTTCAGGGGGGAAACAAAAGAATTAAATCGATTTTAGGGGTTCTTGTCATCAACTTTAGGCATAAATATTTTTGAAAGTTGGTAACACTCACACGGGGATTCCACTGAGTCGAATATAGGCTTTAAATAGCCTCAGAATGACGCAACAGTTATTTCAAGTGCAAGAGTTACGGGCGACGAGTCGTTTTGCGTCTGTAGTGTTCTTTCCAGTCAGGAGACCTAAAACTTTAAGTTTAAAACATCATAATGAATCCTGTAATTGCTTTGGACTGTGAGATGGTAGGGTCGGGCAACAGGAGTATTCTGGCCAAGGTGTCAGTAGTGGACGAAGATGGCAGAGTTTTGTTAAACTGTTTCGTTAAACCGACGGACACCGTCACTGACTACAGGAGTAGCGTGCACGGGATCACCGCGCGTGATCTGGAAGGCGGGGAGTCTTTCAACACCGTACAAAGAAAGGTTGCCGAGTTGTTGAAGGGTAGAATCCTGGTGGGGCACAGTTTGGACTTTGATCTTGAAGTCCTGAATTTGTCTCATCCGGAACATAACAAAAGAGATTTCGCCAAACATCCTATGTTTATGAAGGTGATTATTTATTTTACACATCACTACTATTATAAGACAGAACTCTGAGCTGTCATCGTCTTATAGCCACTAATATTAAATACTTTTGCTTGGATGTTTGTTTCACTATGAGTGAAGGGTCCAATACACACTGCTGTGATGCTCAACTTACCCGCTTGCTTCATTTTAACTTGTAATGTGTTCAAATGTCTGTATGTAGTTATATGGCTGTATATTATGTGTAGAGTGTGTTCTGATCTCAGCAAAGCATTAATAAGTCTGGACGATCTCTGTAGCATCGTGAAAGGTTCAATACTAAACGTTTTTA